CGTAATTAGTTTATGTGCGATATTGTTAATTGTAACAAATATCTCGTTGAAAAATAGCGCTTCCTTATAATTAAGGCAGCTATAAAATATCCAATTATTATTAATATTACTATCGTATTGCAAAATCTAGCCGCTCGCAAACGCATTGGCGTAATCTCTAACTTACTCATTGCCTGATATCTGTAAATCAACATAGAAGCGAGTAATTTATCAAACTAAGCTGAAATGTTGCTCGCGACATAAATAAGACCTGATCGGGGCCAAACTCAACGTGAACATAGAGTACGCCTACTCATTGAACATGTCGTATCGCACGCGGGTATGGGTCGGCTTCGCTTAACAAAGTAGAAAAGTTCCGTTAAGGTTCAAAAGCACGATTTTCAGAGCATTTTGGAGTGAGTGAATCCACTCTCTGTGGGATTACGCACCGTCAGACTACTAAAGCGTATAAAGCTCTCACTTGTGATTTGTAAATTACGAATCGAAGGAAACAATTTTTCAGTAGAGCTTTAAGTGGATAGCAATTGAAAGCGAACCTTTAATGAAATAACGGTACGTAATAGTACTTGCGTGTATAGTGCTCGTTACTCATCTGCATCGATGATAGTCACACCTTAAGTTAAGCCTTGGTACTTACAGGTATGCTCAATAGCTTGCTTCACTACTTGAGGGTTTTTACTATATTTACATATATATAGGAGACATTTAGTAACATATACTATTATATTATTTTTGGCCCATTGACGGCCACAGAACGTATTCGTCTTCAGCCTCACCTAGCTAAGTGTTTATCCATGTTCAATTTATAGATAACCGCATCGCTGTGCTTGGCAGAGCTGTGTGACAATTTAAATTAATACATGAGAACATATTACGACGCTTCGAAGAATGAAGATACTTACTAAGTTTTACTGCAAACGATGACTTAACTTGTTTCGCTTAGTCCCTTTTGAATAGCAGCGTATGTGTATTGAAAACCAACGTCGCAGGCCTGTACAACCTGCACACGAAACGCGCTTAAACGCTCTATGGATTACAGCCAGAACAGTAAATAAAAAAACAAGGGATTAGGATGCTACTCGGATAATTCAGATACCCCTCGACAGTTAATGTAAAAAGGCTGTTCTTGAGGGCTCGCGTTTTTGAAGGATTTGCGTGCCGGCCTATCAATGGTTAGTTTCGAAAATTGTGAGGGTCGACCAGTGAGAGGTCGGCAGGTAAAAGCGAGCTAAGTGGTAACGAATTATATAGTTAAATATTATCGATCCGGTTAAAGAAGAGTGGCCGTCTAGCGCTCTGTATTGGAGCTGAAATCAAAACCCACTTAACGAAGAACTCGTTGTGTCTCATTTGGTTAAAACCATCGGAGACGAATATTTATCTTGCGTTCTCGAACGCTTCCTCATGCGAGATAGACGCAAACTTAAAAACTTACTTAAATGACCAACCTTATGATAAAAGCAGGTGTTTTACAATAGACAACCGACCCCCAGTTTTAGAGTACGATCTTAATAACATATAACTCCTTGGTTCTTAATATCAAGAGTGTGACAAATTTACAACTTCGCCTGGGTTTGAGGGTCATATGCTTCATCGATATTCATATTGACCTAGGAAATAAACCCCATCAGCTCTTTAGTATTGCAGCTCAACAAAAAACAACGTTTCAGTTGTTATGATTTGAAAGTATAAAAAAAAAACAGTTCGAAAATCAAATCCAATAGCGTTGCAGAAAGAGAGTAAAGTCTCTCGTTCTAAATTCCTCATTCCTGTTCATCATATACTGTTTTATATCATAATCTATAAGAGATGGAACGTTTCCTTGAAGCGTGCGATCACTGGTATATGCCGACTCATATCAACGATGCCCAAACCATATGTAGGTTGTCCAATATCGCGCTTTCCAAAAAGCTGTTTTAAATATCCGCCAAATTCAAACGGTTCCTTTGTGCCTGCATAGACAGTTACGCTAGTACTCCCTTTTCCCTAAAGCAGTGTACAGCACAGCTTCAGTGTTGGTGGCAGGGTCAGCTATGACGCTAGTCGATCCACCAGAAGCGGTTCGGTGCGGGATCGTTTCGAAGCCTACTCCTTTATGCAGGCCATAGGCTTAGTATCCTTCCAAAGACTGTGTGAAATTTTTTAGAATAATACTTCACCAGCAAAAAAGAAGTTAATAGTATTTGCATCTGTTCATTTGCAAGCTCACCATGTTATTCGCTGATGAATCATATAAAGGAAGGATTCTTCCCGTTGGCAGAAGAGTTGTTATTTCCGATCGAACGGGTAGCAAATATTACAGTCTATCTTGGCAGTTGTTTTTCGTTTATTCCAATACTATCTATTTTTCACCCCTCTAAAAAACAACCTAGCAGTTATTAACACCCAATTCGGCTCGGAGACATATTTAGCACACCTAAGGTCACAATGCATCTAGTTACCTGTCATTATGGCGAAGTGGGTCAACCACTTGTTTTAGCGGCACTTTTTAAAAATATTGCGATCACGCGTACGAGTAGCGGACTGTTGAACGCCGTCTTCGTCGTTACGCGCCCAATGCAGACTGTTAAACAATAGACCCCCCCCCCCCCTGCTGCGTAAAGAGAATGAAATCAAACTATTTATTTATCGAGTAATTTTCTCTTTTAAACGGCTTCAAACCCATTGAAAGTCCTATAAATGCACCCATTTTCTCATTATTATTGTCTCATTATCATTACTCGGCTAAAATTCATGGGATCAGCCTGAATCCGGCCTTTTTGGCCTATAATTAAAATTTTATTTCCTTCATCCAGTCAATGAAGCCATCGAATAATCAAAGCAGCACATCATTCTTCAGAAATTTTCATAATTCGACCAGGTGAGAGACCCAGCCCTGTTGCTGATCAGCTCTGCTTGGCCACACGCCAAAGTTCGCATACTGTCTGTATGATCGGATAAGTTGGCCCGGATAATTCGACAGTTAGCCGCGGGTTTAATATATTACAGTGGCAATAACGGCGCTGAGGAGTTTCTATTCTAGAATTTTATTCTAAACGCGTCTGTTGCGTTACTCAAGTAACAAATACTAAAAAATGGACCGTTTTGTTATACGAAACAAACGCTTAAAGACACCGTTCCCAAATTACTGCTAACGCGTTCTGAGGTAGAGATTGTAACTAGGTTACTGATGTTAGATAAGGCGCATTGACGGAAGTAATATCTGCGACATTGAACAGTTACGTATTAGCTTGGGTGTAGAAGCTGTGAGTACGTTTTTTAGCAGATTCGACCAGATCGCAATCCGAAACACCGCAAGGGGCTGTTCTGTTTGAGTTTACTGTATTCTCAAACTTATTCTTAACTATAGCAGTACTAAATATAGAATTCAGGATGTTTACTTGTTTTGTTTACTTTGGCCCCTGGGGCTAAAGTTGAGGGTTTCACTACCACTAGGGTTGTGCCACTACAGGGTGAAGCTATGAGGAACAGTCTTCAAATGATTTTATGAAGGCCCGTCTGTAAGTTAGAATCTGGGAAACCGTGAACAAATTGATAACAAGTGAACATATACACAACAAGATTTTCCAAGCTAACCTTTTGCGTGCAGAAGACAGCTTTAGCCGTTATTTTCGTGCAGAATTTCGCTTTGCATTAAGCAAAAATAGCGCACAATAACTAAATTAACTTACTATACACCTTGCCACATTGACAAATTTCCAAAAATGACTTGCCATTAATAAGTTAGACATTTTTTGCGAAGTAATCGAGGCACATAAAATGGGCAGGGCAGAAGGCCGCCAAACCCCAAAATATTTACCACCATTAGCGAACGTCGATATCGAAAAACAAACGGTTTCTATGACACCAAACAACCGCAACGTGGCGATGCGTGAAAAGCTTGAATCTAGCTTATTGAATGATTGATTCTATGGCTAACGACATTCTCACGCAACGGTTGTTAAATCAAAGCAATTCTGATGCGTGGAAACTGAAAAAGAAACAAGCACCACCAAGCAGACGACCGACTTCTTTACTGCTAGTACCCCATCTAACACAAAATAGAAGCCAAATATCACTTCCACCAGCATCACTGGCTGCCATCCAAACGGAGAGCTCGGTTAATCTAGCATGTACACAAATTTACGCCGTAGCCCGACCAGCATCAATAGCGGCACCCCGTTAGCTCAACGAGCTTTACAGGCGGAGGCAAACTGCGACGCGCCTCATAGCTTGTCGCGTCTCTTGCGTCTAGTTTTTTTGTTGTGTAGCATGGAACCATTTGATCAACGGCGAATTCAATCGCAGTGCGCACAGGCTAACACCGACGAACACACAGGGTTTCTTCATCGGAGTCGTAGGGTTTGGAGCGTAACGCCGCGCCATGACATGTAACCTCAGCGTGACTTCAGGGCGCAAGCTTTCTGTAACTGTTCTGTAGCTGCTTAGCGCAAAAGTCTAGGATGTAGTGACGGACAGAATAACGTCTCCTATTGAATTCGGTTCTATTCGGTGATATTGAACCGGCCAGCATTCCCCTTCACCTGCTGCCCGCTCCTGTTCACGTTGTTCTCAGCAGACTATAAAACCGACGCCGGTCCCGTTAAGTAACATCAGTTCACGTCTCGATTTTTTGTTATTCGTGCCTAATATAAAAGGCGGACTCCCGATTAACTTGTCGGTCGCGATCAATGGAGCACAGATCAATTTGTCACTAGAAACGCGACGGATACATTTCTGTTCTCTTAGAACAGTTTACGGGCTCTATTTGGAAACTTAAGGCATTATATTAATCATCACTCAAGCACTTTTTCTTTCCTTCAGCTTGGGAAGCTCATCGTTTTTATCATCACTAGATCATTACCCAGAGCCTTCTCGAACGCCCCTAGTACTTGGATTTTGCGCTACAGCTTTCGCAGAAGCCTGCAACAGCTCTCCTCGTCGAGAAATCCGTCTTTTCGTTAATTCACACCAGTGCTTAGTAGTTACACGAAAATCATCAACTTATCAACATCATCACCATGAAGTGCCTCATGGTCGCCGCAGTAACCGCTGGTGTGGCAACGGTCCGAGTTACCGGAGGTTACCGAGGCGGTGGAGGTGCCGGTAGTTATGGGGGCGCTCTGGGTGCCTATGGAGCTAGCGGCTACGGAGCAGGTTACAGTGGGGGCGGGGGTTACGGCGATGGCAGCAGTTTTGGAAGTGCTAGCTACGACAGTGGAAGTTATGGAGGCGCAGGTTATGTGGACGCAGGTTACCGTGGGGATGTTGGAGGATACCGTACGGGAAGCTTCGAAAGCGCGCGCTACGGCGGTGCGGATGGTTACAGCGGAAGCTTCGAGAATTCGCTAGGCAGTTACGGAGGCGGGCGTTACAGCAATGCAGATGGTTTCGGAGCCAAGGATTACGATGGAAAAGGCGGGAGCTATGGCGGTGACGACTATGGCGGTACTGTTGGAATTCTTGGCGGAGCAAGTGGCTATGGAAGAGGCGCCTATGAAGGCAGTGGCGGTCTGGGTGAAGTCGGTAGCGTAGGACGACGTGGTTATGGAAACGCAGCTGGAGGATATGCAGCTGCATCGACAACGAACTCTGTATCGTCCTCACTGACTTTGCCTTCAGTAGGAACTGCTGCTGTAGCGAGGGCTGAACGACTGAAAACAGCGGTTGATCTGTCGGCGACACCAGTTGCTTCAACGGTGTCATCGAAAAATGAGGAAGTGGGCGAGCAGGACAAGAAGAAGGTAAAAGTCTGAAGAAGAGATGAGCAAAGCCTGAAGTTATGAAGCCACTGGAGGTACAAACCAGAAATCCGAAAAGTTATTAAAGAAGATCTCGTCTAGAAGATTATGAACAGGAAATATTGTAGTCGTAACAGCAGTAATAAGTACGTGTTAGTTTTCCGTAGTAAGAAAGCAAAATCAAATGAAGATGTAAAACGAAGGGTGTTCTCCTAGCGGATAGTAGCTGAATTCAATTGTGTATAAAGCAAGCAATCATATGATTAGAGAGTAACAAAAAATCAGCACGAATACAAGCTTTGTTTAATTTTTGTTAATTAAACGAAACCGTTGGCAGTTCTCATGTAATTCCTCTGAGTACCGACCTTAAAGGTAAAATGTTCTACAAATAATGAAAACATAAATCAGCCTGACGGCTAAGTCATTGGACTAACGATAAACATCTACAGATGAGTGAGTTTCTTTGATAGATTTCCACTCTACTTACTTTAAAATCTTTTATAGTCCCTTGAAGATAATTAGTATACCAATTTAGTATACCTTCCTGGAGTACCTCCATTTCCAATCGTGAACAGTGTGACGTGCACTGAAATTTGCAGCGCACATTAAATACCAAGCTTTATAAAATAAACGTGCTTTAAATAGAAATCATGTCTTATATGGTTATGTTATCTAGTATTCTCTCTTTCTACAAAACATGTCTAAGGTAATATCGCGACCCATTGGGGAGTAAAGGCAATAACTTCTACTTAATGATGTAATAGGTACGCCCCTGTTAACGCCACATTAGTTATACAGCTTGTAGTCAGCTCTTCTAATATTTAGCCGTCGTTACTGGGAACTCCCATACTGTCGCGATGACTGTACAATGATAACAAATGTGCCTACTAAACGTAGGGACGCGTTTGGTCTAGGTTTGAAACCGGGCGTAGACACACTTTATTTCGTACTTGGAGCCAGCCGTACTCGAAACATCTATTTATTTTCACTACTTTTATATTATATATCTCAAATGTACTTTGAAGTTTAGGATGAACGCGGGAAAAAGCGCTACGATAACTTAAACAGTTAGCAATTTGGTTTCCGAAATGAGGCTTGAGTGGTCTAAAAAAGTATTTTGATTTAAATTTGAACTGCTGTCGTATTAAACGTTTTCGGCCCCTATCTTTCTGAGAGAAACTGCTAGAAGTGTATCGCTCTAAGATTTCCGTGTACTGCTAGCTACTCCTCCATAGTGTGTGCTTGCGTCCGGTATGTTTGCTGGGCAGCGACACGACCTAAAACGGTCGAAGTTCAAAACCAATCTATTTTCGTGCTGGAAAAAATTGGACATTTACAGCAATGGTCGGTGGCAATAGCGGACGTAAAGTATAAAACACTGATTAAATATGCTCTATATGATAACGTCTAATTGCCAGTTAGCTTATCAGGATAACTAATTCACAGAAGTTACCGACTTTAATATCAAAATTTGTTTGGTCTATTTCACACAAAAAAAAAGCGTCCAGCTGCTACCGATGGTGCACGGTCGTGGCTTACTACCCCTCTGCAGAAATTGACTATAATATTTTGACCGAAAAAATCACCCCGCTGACTATAAACTGCCAAAAAGAGCTCCCCCAGAGTGGCCGTAAGAAACAGGTCCTGTCCGAGCCTCATTTATCACTCATGCGTCACAGATTGTTTTTTTTTTTTATATGAATTGATTTCGTTGCAGAACTGTTTATTCTCTCGTAGGCGAGAAAATTAAAGCTAAAGTTAGTTAATTAGGCGCGTTGCATTTAAATACTTTATAGTAGCCCTATGATACGAAAGATTCCTAACTGATTTAACATTTTGTCGATCTTGAATCCCTGTCACTAAGACATTTATAACTAGCGTACACTTCAGCATTCCTTTAAGCGTTTACACAACGCTCTAGTGACTTTTTTCGAGCAATGTTAGCACAGCCTTCTTGTTGCATGCGGACGGCTATATCTTAAAAGCTAGATTCGAAAGAAGTTACTTCGCTTCGAATCACTCGAGTTTACGAGTCACAGAGCTGAGAAGTTGCGTTGAGCCCTCGGGAAAGTCTCGTAGCGCTACTTGAGAACATCGTAACTAACTCCGAAGAAAGCAAAGGCGAATGCATAATGGCAAAGTGGTAATGTCCGTACTCGTTGTACATTTCAAATAGATCATAAAAAAACATACATAAAACATTATCTATGTAAATCATCTCTTGTGATAATGCAGATAGTCAAGATGATGTATGGCAATCATAGGAACTACGTATCGGCCCGCGCATGATCTAGCATGTATCTGTATGAGATTATGATTTACTAATAGGATTCGATAGACTAGCCTAGATAATAGAAACGAATTAGCAAAATCAATACTGCAGTTGATCGTCGCCATTTCTAAAACATGGTGAATTATCTAAACTAGATCCTAATACTCGGAATCAAAGTTCGAACTCTTTAATAATTGCGCAAAGCTAAAGGCTACTTCAGTGCTGTAAAAGGCTTTTGTACGCTGATTAAGAAATACTACCCTACTGCCAGAGTGTGGCCTGAGTATAACTACTTTGGGGGGCTTAAATTCAGCTTGAGGGTGGCGCTTTTCGCTTAAACAGGTCCAGAGGCGACGTTCCCGTGTCTCTGAGCTCCACGTCATAGTCTCCGCAGTCACTCGCTTTAACGACTCCAGCGATTTCCCGCAAGTCTGTTTTTCTACTAATTTGAGCTTTCCGTGCGAAGAGAACGGCGTCCCATCTAGCATCATAACTAGGTTGAGGATACTGCGACAACCTCAGATATTTCTCCTTGAAAAAATCCTTGCCGTTTAACATATTCCTCGCCATCAAAGTCAACAATAAAGATCAAACCCACAGACCCCATGTCGTCACAGATAGAATCGGACTGCCGATTAAATATCAATACCTACCTCGTTTGTTACGCCCGTTGCTGAATGACTGCAACATGAATTAACTACGTTAATTATTATTAATTATATAATATACCGTAGGTAATTATGGAAAATATTCTGAAGAAGTTGTGCGATACAAAATCGAAGCACACTATTGGTCCCTCTTGATATTTCTGCGGCACGAGGAACGAGGGAATGAAGTAAAGCAATCCACTTAAAAATGGCTCATACTTTTTGAACCATACATAATGTACGAATATATGAAGTGAATAATACTTTCCACGCCGTCGGATAATACGAAGCCGCGGAAGCACGATAGCGCTCCTCAGCCAGAAACGATTATGATCTGATAGCTCAGCTCGGAACGCGAACAGATCTAAGCTATTGCAAAATACTTTCATGCATCATGCCCGTACGAGATATGAAATAGACAAAGGATATATCTGCTAACTGTACGCGATCCGATTGCGATTCATCTGGAAAACACTCCGATCATAGGGGCTGAGGAGCTGACGAATCGTTTGTTTCATGACTTACGGTAGAGGCTAAATGAAGACACTCTCCATTTACTCACATTATACATTGTGTCACCACCTTTGTGATAACAGTGGCAAGTTACGGTGGATTGTTAGCCGAAACTTGGCAGTATTAGTAGTAATATACGGGATGAATCAATTGACTGAGTATCACGATCTTGCCCCTCGATGGATGGATATCAATCATACGCCTTACTAATATCCAACTACATAAAAGCGAAAAAACTGTTGGTGGACAATCTGTCTTTTTTGTTCCAACAAACCCGGGCTGCTAAGTAAGCATATCAGTAAGTACCTCGTACCGAGTAAGCGCCTCGTTGGCATTACAGCGGAATCTTACGACGTATGGCACGTTGACGTCAAATGAACTCGGGTGCTGCTCATCGTTTGTCTGAGCGTCCATCGATTGACTCTTAATAAAGCGTGATGCGAGATGTTTTTGCCAGTTACTTTTTGACCAAGTTACTATAAGCGATTATTATGATAGTTATAATTATGGTTATCACACAAAATTACCGTTATATATAGCGTAAGCGTTGCTCTTATCGTCAGGATCCAACGGAACCTGGATCCCGTCCCAAATGATCTTATCGACCCCTATAAATTCAGCAAATCTCACTGCTACTTAATTTCACATTAACATCTTTGTTTTTATGTTTGGTTTATCGTACTGAGACGTATCTAGGGAACGTATACAATGATTCTATGAAAGGGTCAATCGATGCAATTTGCAGTGGGATTGTTGGCAATTAACTATTAGGTCGACACGACTTTAGCATTATCTTGCATATAATAAACAAAAGCAGAAGCCAACTTGATTTTTAAATACTTATTATGTCAGATTTGAAGTAAATCCCAAGAACAAATTCGCTTTAAAAAATAATTTATGTTAGTATATACATACATTGGGGTTATTCTTAACCCACCTTAAGCGATGGGTAAATGTTTGACTGATTGCAGATAGTCTAGATGGGACGCACATTTTTTTTCCGTATGCTGCAATACTGAAATTACAATGTGGCTTTAACTCTTATTGTAAATTGAATGTTTTTATTTTAGCGTTGCTAGCTATTCTTCTTATATAAACAAGCCATTGGAATGATCTTCTATTAAATAGAGCATCAAATCCAGTAAGATGCTTCTTGCCGGAGCTCTACCTATTATTAGGTTTACGGGGCTGTGACGAAAAATGTATTTGGTAGAGACCTGCAGGATGCAAGGGTTGCGCTTACATGCTATGATAATACATAGCAATAAGTTTATGTAATTCTTTTTTAGAGAAAATAGGTATAAGACTAGCGATAAGATAATCATCTTATCTTCGTTAGTCTTATCGGAGAGAGGTCATTACAGGACGATTGAAAATAGCTAGGGTAGCCTTATTCCACGGCTTATAGCTTGCTTTCGTGTGTACCATTGAAAATTCCAATACGCCTAATAACTACAGTCGATAAACCGACCTTGACCACAAGCTGACATTTACTATCTCATTCCATATTCATATTGAACTTTATCAACTAGAATTGATCATTTTTATCTAACCTAAGGATAGAAAAACATATCAGGTACTTT